ATGTCATCCCTCCAGAATGAGAAAACCCAGCCAGCTCTTACTCGGCAAGAAGAGCCCATCAAAATGCTTAGGCTGCAATTGCTCAAACTGTTTGCCACCGCTTTGATGTCAGTGTAGTCAGACGGGTGCCGAAATGAGCAGTGAAGCAAAAATGAGACAGGACACATAATACTTTCAGAAAGAAATGGAAGGAATCAAGCTGTTCTTCTCCATTGCACCCAGGGCCAAAGAAACCTGAAAAAGTGCCCTACTATTAAGGCTACCTGTAATCCCCATTGAGTCTTTGAGCCAGACTTCTCTTGGTGGAAACTCAACAGCACTGACCTCAGCACAGGGATCGTTCTCCTTGACAAACTCCCTACTCTGTTACTCATATCTTTCTCCTCTTGGATTTGTATAGTCAATCTCTGAAGACCTGCACTGTCCACCATAATGAAAATCCCTTCTGCTAAAAAGTAGTCTAGACCATGTCAGCTGGTGAACAAGCGGTCAGAGGCACTCTGCACTAGCACAGAAGTTGAGGGATGACTGGGCCCGTGACATTAGGTGGGGTGAGTTTCAGGCTGTCTAAAACCCAGGATTTCAGTTCCTGCTGATCAAAAGAACGCGCCTGGTCCCCACAGCAGTATTTGTTTGGAGTGTAAATCTCAAAGAAGCACAGTGGGGTTCTGAAAAGGTTACAACCCCTGCAGCCATAAGGTTTTATTTCCTTAAGTTTTTCATACAAATTCATGCATCAAAATCCCCAAATTCCCAACAGCAAAAACACACTTCCATATCGTTTAATACAAGACAGGATAGTCCAGCTCGAAGACCATCCATGCTCCACTTTGAAATTGATTCCTTTTCTATTAAAAGTATTAGTATGTTAAGCAAACTCCTTGGGGGAAATAAGCCTTTTTCCAAGTTTACAAGGAAATATGAAAAGCCTTTTTTTTAAAAATCTCTTCATTATCTGGCTCAGTACTTATAACAGTTCCTGTTACCAAAGAAGCAGCACTTCATATATATTGATGACACCTTAAATACACCTGAGATTAAAGATGTTGTTATCCTCTTTTTACAGACAAATGTTAAAGATGGACAGATAAAGTGAATTTGTCCAAGGAAATGGAGAAATTTGTAGCAAATGAAGGAATCAAAATCTAGTCTCCCAAACACAGTGCTTTAAACAGCGGATCGTCCTTCCTCTCCGATGTGACTGCACCATGTCTGTCCTGAGCTTTAGTGCATATATTGACAATTCCAGAATTATAACAAATTGTGAACTTAAAACAAACTCTCTTCCTCATCTATTTTGATCACTGTACACTGACATAAAGTCAAAAGGAGTTAAAAAAAAAACTTGAAAGACTTATCTGTAATCAGCTAAGACTCTACATAGATATCCAGTATTGCGATCAAACAGGAAAGAGACTCTAGTTTTTGATATCCAAATCACAAGGACAAACTTAGAATCATAGATTAGAATCATAGAATCATTTAGGTTGGAAAAGACCTTTAAGATCATTGAGTCCAACCGTAAACTTCGGAAGGAAAGTCTGCCGGGTGCTTGTTTTAATTTCTTGAGTTCAACTACTGCACACAATTATTTCTGGGGATCACTCTCCCTCTTAGATAAAGTACTTGTGTCTTGAATGAGAATAATATTAATATATGAGGTATTGGTTTGGCCTTTCATGGTCTTGCTTTTAGGTGGACAATGCCTCTTGGAAACATCATAAAAGCTCTTAACATACTAGAGCCTTTTAGTCAAGTAAACTTTTAAGCAAGAAATATGATGGTTCATGGCAATTCAAATCACACATATTCTTGTCTGCATTTACGTCAGCATTCACTATAAATCTTCCCTCAGTTATTATTATGTAAAATGATAACAGAGGAGAATTTTATTTACAATCCTGCTTCTAAATTCATTTACCCTAAAGAAATCACATCATCCATTTGTAAGTCCAGCAAATTAAATTCCCACAGGGCAGCCAGCTCTATGGAAAGGGTTAGAATATTTTGCTTCAAGTGAGAATCCTGGCAAGACCTAACACAATATTGCAATAATACTGCATGCTCTGAGCTCCATCTTATTATTATTCTTCTAACATGATCACTATGCAACATTTAATGCTCATTAGCAAGAATATTTATTCTGGAGTCAGGCATATTGATATTATAATGAGAACTCAATTTCATACATCCCAGAACAATAATTCGATTTGTAAAAAACAAATTTGTAGACAACGGTCAATAGATCAAAAGTGTTTATTGCACAGAGGTATCTTTTACGACTATTCAGATATTAACTTGGACAGGCTTCACACACTAAAAAACTTACCACGGTGTCAGAGAATATAGGACATATGTTGATAAGTCACACTGGAGATCGCCTAGGTCATGTCCTCATTTGTTATGAAATATATGGTTGTGCAACTGCAGTAAAATCTGATACTCTATTGCGCTGAGTACTGATCATATCGTTCTGATCATATCATAGTAATCATAGAGAACAGGTATAGGTAGAGGTACATAGCAGGTAGCCATGCGAGGGCAGGAACGCGCTGTTTTGCATGTGAATAGAGCCATTCCTTGAAATTCCCACAGAACAAACTATTTGTTCAGAAGTTTGTCATAAAAGTGAACAAAAGGGATGTGAGGATGAATGAGTCAAAGAGACATTCAGAAAAAGCACAACGTTCATGGAAATGTTCCGTATTTTTGACCTGTTTTTACCAATCACAGACTGGTATATTATGCAGTAGCCTAGCTATTCCTCCAGGAAAGGAAAAAACATTGCTTTTGAGTCATGAACTCGAAAAAGAAATTCATAAGCAAAGAAAATTGCATATTGGCAATACAGAAGGAATGAAAATTGCTAAAAACCAAGCTGACTTTGATATCATGAGCGAAAACGTTCCCAAGAACAAGAAGAGAACAGGAAGGGAAGGAAGCTGTTATGCAATGTGGAGTACAAGATTAAAAATAATCCTAGAGGAACAGGTATATGGGTGGTTTAAGGTCCTGGGACAGAGATGGCTTCACTCTATAAGAGAGCTAGGCTCAGGTTTGGGGAATCAGCCCTGACTACCGTACCACCTAGCAGATTCAGACAAAACCCCCTGTCCAGAAAGAAGGGAAAAAAGGGTTAGACAGCAGTTTGCTAGGTGGAGGGGGCTGTTTGCTAGAGCTGAAGGGAAACAAAGAATTGTTGTTCTTGTTATTAAGTGGGCAGAACTACCTTGTTCTTTTGTTGGTCAGAAAATAAACCCAAGAGATTTTACACTAAACACACCACGGTACCCATTCTCCTGGCTGGCAGGAAACAACAAATGCCTATGTCAGTATGGTCCCAAAGCAAAAAAAAACACCCCAAAACAAATCCAAATTCTCTCTTGTTTTCAAAAATTAAGAAACAAATAAAACATGGAGGAAAAACCAAAAAGAAATATACAAGCACTGAAATTGGAATGACTAGTTTATCCCACCTCTAGGGCAGCAGCACACAAAATTTCAAGTTTAAAAAAGACTCCATAGTTAATTTTTCTCCTGCTCAAAAGAAAAATAAAGAACACCCAAACCCTCAGTTCAACTGAAACCAAAATACTTTATTGCTTTTCTTGTTGAAAGTGCAAAAACAAAACCCAAAGAAGCTAAAACCTAATTGTGGTTTCCAAGGTAAGACAGCATACAGAAAAGCAGATAATAAAATCATTCCAGCTGTCTGTTATAAACAGACAGACAAGTAATCCACCCGAAGGAGAGACTGACACCAAGCCCACTTCAGAACACCCACTGTATGGTGGCAGGAGTAAGCAGGAAGTATAGATTTAAACTCTGAACAAAGAGGAGTGAACCAAGTTTCATTTTTGCATCCCAAAAGGGTAGTGAGTAAAATATAGACGTTTTTGTCACCAGTTTCTAAAAGCACAATGTTCTATTATAACTTCAGCAAAAAGTTTAATTTGTCCTGAAATGAAATTTTACAGGCTATCATTTTAACAAGAAAAAATTATTATTTTGGAAGGTTAATCTAAAAGATTCTCTTCCCTTCAGTCCAGGCTTAAAATGAAAATTTAATTACAGTGATAAATACTCTTGAATGGACATTTTTGTTTAGCTATATTGCTGTATTTTTGATCCATCAGTTGTAAGAATGGACTAATGTAACTAGAATTTTTGAAAAGTGTTTTATCTGAAGGATTGCTACCTAGTATGGAGTTTAATATATTATTTCAGCATTTTATATCTTTATAAGGAATGCTTATTCCGTTTAAAAAGATACAGGATAGGACTGACTTCATTAAGCGTTTTTTTTAAGAATTCACGTGCAGAATATCTGATTAACTGGGATGTATCTCATTCCTGTTTCCAGACACTTAAAAAGGCTTTCCACCACGTTGGGTTCACTGCTTCCAGAATACAGCAGTACATTAGGAAAATGTAAAACTCTCCTTTCTTATAAACAGCATAAACAGACCTGGTTCCTTTTGAAAAACCTCTACAATCTTTGCTCTCCGCTCTCCTAAATTCTGTCACTCTCCCTCTACCCCAAGTGAGGCTGATAAAATGCACCTGCCCCCTGCCACAAGCAGCGATAAGAAACTATGGAGCTTGATATGGAAACTTCACACCCAATAAGAGTGGATAAAATTATCCATCACAGTCTGAAGGTCACATTGTCAAAAGCATCTATGTTTTCTAGAGATGCTGGAATATATTACTTAAAATATTAAATGCTTTAATAGTTTTCAAAACTAGTCTCTCTGTCCCCTGTTAACTGTGAGGAGCAACAACTGCAGATAACACAATGACAATAAAAATGAAAAAACCTTAAAGTGTGGTGAGACAACACCTGCAAAAATGTAGATGGTACCAACCACCACTTACAAGTATTCATAACTAATAAAACAAATAGAGGAAACAATGCCAGACACGTTTACCTCAGTAGTGCAATTTTTGTTTTAAAGAACTTTTGTATCACAAGAAAACAGGTAATAAGTCACTAATACCTGATATACCTTCATGATATTGACAGTTCCTTCTCCATTCTGGCCTGGGGATCCTTGGCTCTGTAGTAGATTTCTCACTGTCTCCTGCATTCTAGAGAATGAAAATATTTATAAAAGTCAACTGTATGGAAAAAAATTAAGAGTTGCATCCAGTGTTTTTGTTCTTTTCAAGAGCCTAATGCATCCATGGCTACCATGAAATTAATATTTAAAGACAATCCTGGCCTTATAATGTTCTCATACTCCATGTTATGAATAACACATTAAGGGCACTCTTTTATCTTTTGAATATGCACAGTAATTCGTTGTATTGTTAAAATCCTACTGGAGCTCAGTTACAAAAACTAAAAACAAATGTGTGCACAAGACATCACCTTGTCAACAGTGTAACCAAACACCATGATAAAATTACTGTCATTTAGGAACAAAATCAGTCAGATTAAAAAAAAAAACCTGCTGTTTTTCTAGCCAATTGTCAGTTTTGTGCAATTTAGACAGACTGTCAAATACATTACTAGTATTTACTCTCTATGTTCTAGGTGCAGCAGTGTGTGCCAGTACATTTGTTTATATAGGCACAGCTGCTGAACACATTCACCCTTCTCTGCCCTTTCAAAGGGATGTAAAAAGCAAGTGTAGGCTACAATCTGGTACTACCATCTCATGAAAACGTAATCAACTTCAGTTCCATCAGTGAAAGAAGGAAGGTTTGCACTTTCATTTTAAAAGGTGTTAATAGACACCATCAAAAGTTGTCTTTGATCTACACGCATTCATCAAGCATGTTAAAACTGATAATAACGCTAACCCTCCTGAATGGAGGCTGAACAGAATAAAGAGTTCTGCTCCTTCGCACAATAGGACGGCTGGGGATAATGGAAGCCACCTACAAAACACTGGTCCCATTCAAGGTAGATCAGAAATTAAATCCATGGGCTTAGGAGATGTCACCGAGGCTGACCACAAATAAAGGGTCTGAGACTACAGCTGGTTTCAGCTCTGTGAGTACCAGTAAGAAGAGAAAAGGGATCAAAAGCCAGAGAAGCAGTGATGGACACAACAACAAAGACGCTGGGTTTTACAACAAAAAATGTCGAGTGCCAATTCCAGCTGAAGGTCCTCACGCTTCTCCCCACTCCCCATCTCCGCATGCAAATTCTCACCCCTGTACAGCTTTGTCAGCTGTGCAGATGCAACAATTTTTCTCACCCTCCCTTTCATGTTTTCTGTTCTTTTCCTTTGAAGCTGTCTCCATCCCTTGATAGAGTTGGAAGAACAGCCAGGCTGGAACAGGGGCTGGAGAAGGGAAACTGCTGTGGCATGGGTGTGTGGGTGACACAAAGGCAGGACAGAGAGAGGAATACCTTAAGCCATATTGCCAGATACGCTACATATTAAAACTGTGCCCTTGAAAAAAGAGACGGTATTCCTAGGCATATCAGACCAGCAACTGCCTGCTGTTGTTTATTTCCACTGTGTTTAGGGAAACATGACTTTTGTGTACCATTCTCTGCAAATGCAATTGAGCGGAAGAATTATTCACAGCATATCAAATTTTTTTTATTTCTAAGGTAACAATCCATCGAGACAGCAAATATTAGCTAACTGCTCTGGCCAAAGGCCAATAACATTATGTTTTATATAAGCCTCATGGTCTTTCTGTTCTTTCAGTCTTATCAGAATGAATGGTATTGGCTAATTTAGCAATAATATGATATTTTGCTAGGTTTTCTCCTTTCAAGTCAGTCAGCTATGCTACTTTTTGAGAAGCCAACACTGGGTATTCATTCTACTCAGATGAACACTGACATTTTACTTAGTCGTATGATGGTTTTTTGTCATTGATGTGCAGACTTCTACATTGCCAGAATGCCCACAGAGTAGTTGGACCATCTGTTGACCAAATGTGAATACAAACAAGCCAGCTCTAATCTCTAGTGCAGACACTGGTGCAGTTTTTCAGTTGCAGATTGGAACCATTTCTGCTCATAGGCTGACCTTAATCAGATGCCTTTTACACAAAAGAACAAATCATTTTGGTTTGTAATATAAATTCCTGTGCAGTCCTCACTGAAAGATTTCACTCATCGTTTCATTTTTAAATTAATGATGTAATAGCATTCTTGATTATTGTGTTTATATATGCATACACAGTTCCAACTCTAGCCCTCCATAAAGTTCTTACAAATCAATAAATAAGCAAAAATGGGAGAAAGAATAGATTCAACTATCACTACAATCAGAGTTTTTCAATTTAGGCCTAATAGTATTAATGAAAATATAGTCTAGTTGCATATTAGTATCATCAGTTAAACCAGCTCAGAAAAATTATGAAGAATTTTTAAATTCAATAGATCCTTTAATCTTCAGTCAAATTCAAACAGTCTATTTTGGACAACAAGCTCATCTTGTCGAACAGCCTTATAGGGACTGGCAAGCACACAGTTTCATGTCGCAATTAGGAACACCTCCCATCAGCACACAGATTTCTATGCAACAGAATAATCTTTGCAACACGACAAAGCGCTCAGTTAAACACAGTCGAGACTGTTGTTTTGTTGTTTGCAGCTATTATAAAAGTTTCTAAGAGTTGACAGCCATAAAGCTGAACCGCACACATACCAGAGACACTGTCTGTGTGGTCATGTCACTATAAAACCAGCACTGAGAGGATCTCACAAGCTTTAGGTACCCACTGAATATCTGAAAAAGGAAAGAGAAAACTAGTTTCTGTCAAACAAGGAGGTGAAATCTGCTTACAGTCAAATTTACTGCAAAGCTCTGATGGCCAGTGCTCTTGCAGTTTATAGGCTGTTGCTTCTTCACTAGCATCCCAGTTGTCCATTTTTAGGAAGGACTGCTTAACCAAACATGGCACAGGATAATAATCGAGACTTGTTTCTTATAAATTAGAATCTCTGAAGCATGAATTAATGGCACCTTAATTGAAAAGCAACTGTTATATCATGATCTATAATACTTTCCACAATGACAGTACATGCCAGAAAGATTTAGTGTAAATTCTTTTAAAGAATGCAAGAATGATTGAGCCTCTATAAATTTAACTTGAAATCCCACGTTTGGCTCCCTGAACAAGGGTTCCAAAGGACATGTAAATCTTGGAAGTGAAGCAGAAAAATCAGGAGCTTTATGAAAGGCTATTTCTACACATCAACCTATATTTTTCCCCCTTTCTGGTAACCACGAAAGGTTATCTTATCTTGGTCATGATTCTAATATCCTAGATGGACCCACTGCAACACCAAGCACTTGCCGATTACATCTAAAATAGCTATCCCCCATGCGTGTATTCTGCCTGCTTGCTGGCCTACGCTAAAAAAACTGTTTTGCCAAGGATTCTGTGCATCTTACGTAACTATCAAGCTGTTACAATCTGCAAAAACAGTCTCTAAGGCTCACCATTCTGGAGTCTACATTCTTCAATCACTATTTAAGAACATTTATTTTCCCCTTTCTTCAGTGTTCTATTTACTGCCTATTCATCTGAAGCATCTCAGTTAGTACCATTAAATTTTTTGTTACATCTATTATTTGAATAGGAAATGGAAGTTTTCTTAAAACTGTTATTTGAAAAGGAAATTGAAGTTTTCTTAAAATTGAAGTGTTCCTTTCCATTTTTCTTTTTTTTAAAAGCTATTTTCTTTAGGGGAAAAATAAATGAAACCCATGTTTGATAGAAGTTTCTTAAGTTTCTTGACAAAATGTCAGTTTAGAGTAGGGAAACAGTCCTCCACCAGTCCTAATCTAAGGATAAATTTCTCAAAGCTTTAAACAGAAGAAGAAATGGGGCACTCTGAGACCAGAATCTGTTCATGGAATATAAGAGTTTAAGGAACATAAAATATTAACGCTACTGTGGAAAGCACTGTCAAGATTTCATGTGGAAGATTATCTGCAATGACGATCACCAGTGTTCAGGAGCGGCTCTTTCCAAGAGGATTCGGTGAAGAGACAGCTCTGAGGTTCTTTAGAGCAATCGAGAGTCTGTGTCATGAGAAGAGACTAAACAACTTATCTTGCTAAACTTAAGAGACCAAGGGTTTACACAGGTATGACTTCCACAAAAGAATCAGTGAGAAAAAGTAAAATGAGAAAGAAAACCACATCAACCTAAGGCCAATGATTGACAAAACAAGATGGGAATACAGTGGTTACAAATACATTTAGGCTGGAATTAGGATGGGTTTAATCATTGAAAAAGTGAGACTCTGAACCAGCCTGAGTGGTAGAGTAACGGGATGAGAAACCTAAACAGTTTTAAGCCAGTTGAGCAGTTTATGAAATTAATTACACAGCAGGGTCAAGAACTGAGGACTAAAATCCACAGGTCCTTGCTGCTATTCCTCCTGAAACAAAATCAGTCATTCCTACATTTTAAAAATGTAATTTGTCCTGTGCTGCTGCGAGCATACCAGGAAATCAATCCAACCGCAATGTAGAGTTATTTATTTTGGCTTTGTTTCTGTGTGTTTTTCTGGGCAAGGGGGCCAGGGGAATCTCTGGAAAGGAGGAAGCATCGTTCCCTGCCCAGGGAGCACACACTGCATAGATGCCCAGGTGTCCAAGATGGCAGAAGGAAGCTTCCTCTATATTTTTGCTGCAACTCAAATCTTGTCTGGAAGCCAGGACCTGCTGTCAAGGACCCTCCAAGCTGTAGTAGACTTGCTTTTAAAGCTTCTTGATGTTATGTTTCTGACAGCTCTGCTGCCTCCATCTCCTGCCTGGCCCCGCTGCTGCAACTCATGGCATGCACCAGAGCAGTTTCATCCAGGCCAGGCGAGACAGACCCTGCTGGGGTTGACGCATCACTGGTAGGCAGTCAAATTCCTGACCTTCCTCCCAATTTTCTCAGAACCATCACCTTCATAAACGGGTACTTACGTTGTGCTGTCCCTCAGCAATGCTGGGATGTGGTCAGAAAACTTGCTGGCTTTGTGCCTCTCCCAGTTCCGTCATCTCAAGTGGACCAAAGCCATAAGCTATTTTGTTGGGGTCCTCCCCAAGAACAGATTTTAAGACCATACAGGAATTAATCTTTCCTCAATACACTAATGCAAGGAGGCACAAGAG